TGTATTATGGATAAAGGAAATCCACTGGTGGCAGTGAGAAAAAAGGGGGAACATCCTAATCTCCTGGTGAGAAGACATAGCGCGAGCCTTTTGTTTGGGGAAACAAGCAGGGGTTACGTGATAAATGTCACAACAGGTCATTGCAATTTTTAGATACTCCTTTAAAAAAGCCTGTTTTTGCTTTTGTCTGCATACACTTAGCACTTTTTCTCACAAGCTCTGAGAGAATTTTCGATTCTTTCTTTACAGGGAAGTTCCATAGGCAAATGTCCAAAGAACAAATTATTTAAAGGCTACATTGAACTGGAGCTGCAGTTGCGAGAGTTTGATCGTTGTCGGAAATTGTATGAAAAGTTTCTGGAGTTTGCACCTGAAAACTGCACATCGTGGATCAAATTTGCTGAGTTAGAAACTATTCTTGGTGATGTTGACAGGGCTAGAGCTATATATGAATTGGCTATTGGCCAGCCACGATTAGATATGCCAGAGGTAAGATGTTCTGGGATCCCTTTTTTTTCTTTCTTTCTTTTTTTTAACATGGAATGAATACTTTGAATGGGAGCAACACAAGAGGTTCAACACTGAATGCAAGATATAGCAATTGGCCCCTGGTACAGCTACATCATTGTAAAGAAACATGGTTTGTTTTCTTTTTCCCCATCTTGGCTTTGCTCAACTAGTTCATTTCTGGTTAAGCAAGCAGACATTTTGCTTACACAGCAGAGCTAAATATAAACAGAAAACATAAGAAAAAATAGTAAATCAGCAAATCTGAAGCTGAAAAACCTGTCCCAATTATCAGGGACAAGTTTCTCAAGATCTCAAGATCTCAGATCACAATCTAAAAAATGCTGTAGAAGTTCTTCTGATATCCAGCTGGGCAATGCCTGTCAACTCCATGCTGGTCAAGTATTTTTCCTTCACGCCCACCAACTGTAGATAATTTCATTTATATCTAGTTAAACAAACCCTTAGTGTCCCATATGGGCAAATAAAGGAGATATATTACAATGATGCACCAAAGAGGGCAGTAACAGTAAAATAATTTCCCCCAAAATATTAGAGTGACACGGGTACAATTGCCAAGTATCCAAAAAAAATCACTATATGTCATATGGCTTGTAGCTTTCTCCCGAGCATCAGAAAATCCCTTTGAGATCAAATAATTTAGTAAAAAACTCCAGTTGAAAATAATTTTCCTTATGTCATGCACTTTTAAAAATACATCTAAAAACCATTGTATTCAGCAGCTCTTGTTAAAGATTTAAGTTTGGTTTAACCTGTTAACTTATTTTCACCACTTTGCCTGCTTCAAATAAACCATGTCACTCTATTGCTAAATATATATGCATATGGGGAGCTCCAGCCGCAGAAGGTGCTGTGGCATTATCTTCATTTATGCTTGCTGGTTATGCAACCTGTTCTTGAATCATAAAAACAGGTTCTTTGGAAGTCTTACATTGATTTTGAAATTGAACAAGAAGAATATGAGAACACAAGAAATCTTTATCGACGACTGCTTCAACGAACACAGCATGTCAAGGTTTGTAGCTGGGTTGGGCACTTTTAGAAATTTCTATGTGCATTGCTCTAAAGTTTAAATAGACCCAAAGGTGAAAGCAACAAGATTGTGATACAGGTTGTCATAGCAGAGCTTGTCACTGAATTCAGATTTGCTGAGTGGATGAATGGGTTTATTAAAGGGAAATGGCCTTTAAAATTGTTACAAAACATTAACACTATGAACACTGTCGTCTAGGCATGTGAAATGTAAGGGGAGATCATTGGTGTTCTGTGAGAGTATCCAGTATGGCCACAGCACCTCATCATGCTTCATTAAAATTGATTGGGAATTAGTTGCACAAAAGAGACAATTCCCAGTCAGTAACACAAAATCGATGGCTGTGGGTTTTTGCGGTTTTGTGTGTGGTGTTTTTTTTGGGGGGGCACACTGTGGGTGGAATCTTACATGGGTGTGTGAGTGAAAAGGTGGGGGATTCAGCTTTCCATCTTTTCCATGTGTCTAGTATGGGAATGTTCTCCAAAATCACCTTGATGTCTTATCTGTCCAGGTGCTCACTACCTGATGCCTTTGCTCAAGCTACTGGCCAGTGCAGGTTTTACTACAACAGGCCAGTTTCTTTGGACTTCCTCCTCTATACTTATGCCTTTAAAATGGATCTGAAAACTGTTGCATTCACAGCAATGAAAAAAAACACAATCTAAATTTTGCTTTCCTTGTTAATACATTTCATTTCTTTAATTGCTTTAACTAAATAATCCCAGTGTGCTGTTCAGTATGTATACGCATGCAGAATTCTCATCACAGAAGCTGCCATGATCTGATGAGGTGCCAACTGGATGATATGTCCAGGAACATGACCAGCACTTTATCAGATTGCTGTGGCAGCTTCCACAGTTGGAGTTCAATGCGTGTAAATACTGAACAAGTATACTAGCTGACATATATTATAAAGTGTATGTTTCTGTAGATGGTCATTTAATAATTTTATTCAGTGCTTTTTTTTTCAGCAGGTCCTGAAAGTAAACCTGAAACTTCACTACAGTTTGAGCATTGCCTAAATGCTTGCTTTGGTCCATAGTACTCAAGGATAGAGAGAGATTTGGTGTCAATCTGCTCTGTACACTTCTTTCAGCTCTACTAGATAAAGGGGCTATATACATGGAGGGGTGGAAAAAGAAATATTAACAGAAAAATTATTCTAAACGCCTGAAAAATCATGACAGGTAAAATGGGAAGAGAAGGGAAAATATAGCAAAGCGATAATAAATAATTGGACATGCTTCCCTCCAAATGGATGTCCAACATCAAAAGTGGCCCTTCATGCATATAGTTGTTTTTTAAATTGCTGTGAAAATTTAGTATATGCAGCTTCAGGACAGTTAACATATATCCAACATGTATGTCATCTGAGAAAGTGGTCTTAGAACTTTGACCTACTTCCAGTGATTTACCAGATATCATAATATGAACGTTGTACTTTGGTTATAGGTATGGATCAGTTTTGCCCAGTTTGAGCTCTCAGCAGGAAAGGATGACAGTTTATCACGTTGTCGGCAAGTGTATGAAGAGGCTAATAAGACAATGAGAAATTGTGAGGAAAAAGAGGAGAGGCTTATGCTTCTGGAATCCTGGAGAAACTTTGAAGAGGAATTTGGAACAGAAGCCAGCAAAGAAAGAGTAGACAAACTCATGCCAGAAAAAGTGAAGAAGAGGAGAAAACTGCAAGCTGAAGATGGGGTAAGTGTGTAAGCCAGAGACCTGGCTCAATGTGGTTCATCTTGCCTTTCTGCTAGTACTGTACTTTAATGCAGCATTGTGAAATATTAACCAATGTCTTGACAGTAACTGGGACATAACAGAAAATGAACTTTCCCACTAGTTCTCTTCGTAATATAGGCATGCAAGTTGTGCCTCTGTGTAAGACTTGAGGAATGTTTATACTGGGGTACATGGGGGGGCACACGGGTCCATCTGTGGACAGCTGCTCCTGTGACTCCCACCTCCAAACATTGTCATTTCAATTTTTTTAACTAAGTCCCCTAGTACCCCCCCAATAACTGATTAATACAGATATTAAAATTAAATAATTTGGGAGGGTCTAAAAATATGTCAGAATTGCCTACTCAAGCTTCCTAGGGGGATTTAGAAATGGTGGGGGCCTGTGGGAAGGGATGCATGTTGCCCACCCCTGCTTCATACAGCAGATTTTAAGAGTAAAGCTGCTTGTGGGAGTTACAGGTATGGACATGAGTTATGTGTTACAGTACCAATTATCTCTTCACAGAGTAACTACTTTACTACCAGTGCTCTTAAAATAATAATTAGTGGGAGTGGTTCTTCCTATAATTAACACAGTAATACACAGGCTCTTCAGAGGGAACAGATAGATCCTATATTTTTAATGGGCAGCTTCTTCTAGAAGGGAACATTTAAACAAGTGGTTTCCTCATCTGCAGTATATACTGCTATTTCAGAATGTCCCCTAAACTTTAAATCTCATGTGGAAACAATAAATGTTATAAAGTAGGGAAAAGCACAATATTATGTCTCATGTTTTTTTTTTCTCCAGTCTGATGCTGGTTGGGAAGAATATTATGATTACATCTTCCCTGAGGATGCTGCTAATCAACCCAACCTCAAATTGCTTGCAATGGCTAAGCTCTGGAAGAAGCAACAACAGGACGACGATCCAGGGAAAGATCCAGACAAAGAAGTTGATGAAAGCAGTCCCTAATATTCCTGTTGTAAATCACTGTTCATTTTGTATAGAATTTTTACGGTAAATACAATAAATATTTCAAAAATAAAAAACCCAAATACCAGTAACATCTCATGTAGGAGAAATATTACCATAAATTATTAGTATAGATTATAGCATCCCTTTTGCTTTTAGCCATTTCAAAGGAATTGACAAACCATATGAAAAAATTGTCCCATTTCAGTCCGTAAATGAACTTTTTAAAAAAAAATGTATTTTTTTTGCCCTGCCTGATCCTATTCTGCTTCTGTAAGTCAGAGCAATGTGATGTTTTACTACAACCCTACTACTGAGAATGTTCAGGCCATCAGAACCTGTACCCTTATGATACTACTTGTTAATGGAAACAGGGAAACTATTCATCAGTGCATTTGAAATTAGTGACATGAAATTTGCTTTAAATATATACATGAAGTCCATTTTCCATATCCAAATATAAGACAGATGGGTTGTATCTTTATGTCTCCCCAAGGGGAAAATACATAGGAAGTGTTAAGATTTCAGTAATGTAGATAGTTAACATAGGTTGCACCAAAAGTTACAGTGGTCCTAATAGGGTTTTCAGAGTATTTGAGATCTTTAAGGATTGCTTCTACTGTTACTACCCTGCAGTGAATTTCCATGGCTGAGGAGGGATTTCAGCCCAGGCCTCCTGAGACCTAGTTTATTGCTCTATTCACTACACAACACAACTAATTAACATACAGGACAACTATGTTTACCTCCCCTTATTGATTTTATTTATAAAATTAAATGCATAAATGGCATTGACAATATTGATCCAACAACCAACCAAAATAAGTGAAATTTTCTTTGCTGCATGTCTAGAAATATTTATATACAGGCAAGGGACTAATGGTTTATGGTTTAAAAATGAAACCATGAGCTTAAAAGAACTGCAGCTACAATTTTGTTTTCCTTCCAGAACATTAGACTTAAGGTACCCTTCATATACTCTTCTTCCCCAGTTCCAAGGCTTCCAAATTACATTCATAATATATGCTGCAATGTCCTTTGAAAATGTTGCCAGCTGTCTACATATGTTGTTTTCAGTATTCTGTACAGATAATAGTATCATAAGCCTATTCAATGTCTTCTGGTCTGACAGGATGTGGTAGTGGTATAATTGATTTCTTCTCTGTATCTCTGGACAAAGCTTTCCTCATATCTGTGAAAAACGAGCACAACATATTACATAATAGCTTCTTAAGAGGAATAAAATATAAATGTCAGTGAAATACTGTGAAAAGACAGGTGAAAATAAGAAATCAATATCAAATGTCTTGTGGCTGATGCATTTCACAGAAAACAGCATTTTCACTTGGTCACACATAAGAAAACCAGATTCCAAGCCTCACAGGTGTTACACAAGGACTCCCAAACAAATTGAAGATACTAATGGTGGTACAATGGATAGATGAAGTAGCTGACAGTCTACTTTCCATTGAACTAGTAACCACAGGTTCAGACCAGAAATTCAAAAAAGATAGCCACTCACTGTAATGATGGACTATAGTTTTTATATGCTTCTCGCCAATACCCTGCTGGACTTCTGTTTTATTAACAAAGCCTTTGTTTTACCATTGGAAAAACAACCTCTTAATCTGCTCTAGTCAGCACAAGTATCCATATAAAATTCCATGCATTCTTTAATAGAATTAAGAAAATTACTCTGTTGAACTTTACTATTTTCAAAAGTGACATTTTACTGTTTTTCTCTCTCACCACAATATGTATCATTGATGCTATCCTTGCATTCTTGGGAATTTCCTCTTTTCAACTCTATCCTCTACTCATACATGGAAGAAATCTTAAGTTAATAGCAACATGAGAAGATAACCATTATGGCTATGTGCTCCAAGAGGAGCATTCAACTTGCTGTGGGTGTCATTCCTAGTTGTCATGTCCCTTAAATAGGATGACATTCTTTTATCTTTTGTCACAGTAGTTAAATACTCATTACTACCATCTGGAAACTTAGAGAAAAGACCTTTTGATTTCTTTAAATTCAGTGGGAGATAGTCACTACTTCTCTGACTGGTTGTTCCCTTACCTTCAACTGATCAGTGAAGGTGGTAAAAATTTACATAGACATTTTCAACTCATTAAAAAATCCTGCTGCATAGGTAATTTATTCCAGTGTCTAAAAATCTTCTCTATTTTTATAAATCTAAACACTTACCATATGCATCTTCATCAGGCTCCCCATTGCTGGCAGAGTAGTACTCCAGAACTGTTCTGTACACACTGTAGCCTAGTTGTTTGTACATGTTCACTGCAACCTGATTTGACACTCTCACAAAGAGATCCACAAAAAATCCACCCTTTCTTTATTAAGAAAAAAAAATAATGAGACAAACGAGGTAGTACATGATGTTCCATATTATACTTCTAAGAGGCTACATAAAAATGAAAGTATTAAGTAATGGAAAGCAAAAAACAGGCAAACTCAAGTTTAGTTTTGACACTACAAACCATGTGTTCAGGAATGTTAATGTTTTTCTGGATTGAAAAATCCAGATTTACAATTGGCTTGCAAGCATGCCTGAAGCAGGAAAGAGAGTTTAATGCAATGTATCTACTAGTGTGCTAGTGTGTATAAATTAGTTTTAACTAATATTGTAGTTGTGAACACTGAACCATCTGAAAGTGCTGTAGGGCTGAGACTACAACACTAAGCAGAGGTCAGCTATTGCTAGTTATTATTACAGGAGGACTGCTGTATCTGCAGGATCACTACCTGCAGTTCCACGTACCCGCTACCTAAAAATATTAAATAAGAAAACCCCAGAAATATGTGTTTTCAAGGTGTATTACCAAAACTCGACATAAGGGGAAACCAGAGAGTAGAGGGTTTGCTATATAGTCAATCCTCGACTTACAAACTTCCTTCCGGAATGGATTAACTTTGTAAGTCGAAAAGTTTGTAACTCGAATCAGCATTTCACACAGGAATGCACTGAAAACCAATTAATCCGTTCCAGCTGTTTTTGGTTCTTAGGTCGAGGGGCGGTTTGTAACTCAAATCATTAGTTCCCACATGAACTAATGCAAAGCCGGTTAATCTGTTCCTACCACTAGGGGCAGATTTGTTTTCCTTTTTCCTTTTAATCTAAAATGACTTAGGTTAAAAAAAAAGGAAAGAAAAGAGGGAGGGAAGAAGGGAACACCTTTTCAACAGAACACCTTAAAAAGCACCTTTTCAGTCAAGACAAGCACCTTCTGGGAAAAACTAAGCATCTTTCAGACAACAGATCACCTTGAAAAGCACCTTTTCAGTCAAGACAAGCACCTTCTGGGAAAAACTAAGCATCTTTCAGACAACAGATCACCTTGAAAAGCACCTTTTCAATCAAGACAAGCCAGTATAAGCACCTTTTGGGACAAAGGGGCGCAGCAAAGGGGGCACCTTTTAAAAATAAAAAAATCAAAAAAAAAAATTTAAAAGCCAAAAAATAAAAACAGTCCGTACAGCACTGTACCGGGCAGTACCAGGCAGTCTGAAGACTGTCTCCAAATCCACTCTCAAAACGCTGGGAAGAGCGAGGAAGCAGACAGGCACCCTCTTCACCGGCCAACGGTTAACTGAAAGTTCAAATTCCATGTTTTCCCCACCTCCTGCACGTTGTTCAAATTTCACGTTTTCCCCACCTCCTGCACATTTTTTTGTTTCGTAACTCGAATCTAAGTTTGCAAGTCGAGTCAATACTTTTCAGAGTGGTTTGTAAGTCAAAATGTTAGTAACTAGGGCCATTTGTAAGTCGAGGGTTGACTGTATATGGGTTTTCGCCATCTGTGAGTGTGCTTGGAACTGAACCCCAACAGATACCGTGGTCCCATTGTAATGTGGAGTCATTTCTTTTTAGCTAAAATGAGGTCTGAATCTGAGGTCAAAGACATACCAATCCTTTATATTTCATGGTCTTTGGGCCTTGCTATTTATAATTTATTTCATGGGTAACCAATTTTTCTGTATCTCAACCTTTACAAATATGAAAAAAGCTTCTATTGAAAGACTCCTGCCTTTATCCATTCTTCCCGAGTTCCCTTTCTCATAATAATCCAAACACATTGCCATACTGTATGCCACAACATCCCACTACTGTTGCTGTGAAAACAAGGAATGTGTCAGCAAACATCACTAAGAATGACACAGATATTCTTCCTTATAATACCATGATCAAAATTCTAGGCTTAATAAAGATGACTCACCTTTCTGATATTTCTTCAAGCAGCTCCATTAGCTTAGCAGCCAAACCCAGCCGGCGAAATTCAGGTGCAACAGAAAGTGCAGTAACATGGCCATGCCACTCCTCTCTTGCTACAGAACCTTCCGCCTTCCCCATGACTGCAGAGATAACAACAGCAAAACAATGCTTTTGGACTGGATCATGCTCATCTCACAGAACCTTTCCTAGTGACCGAATCAGACCAAGCTATTGACTATTCTGGGTATTTGTTTAGAAATTAACAATTAGAGCCTTTGGAATGTCTGAATTTTTTTTAAATGCTTCACTGCTGAAGTAGATTGATTATACTGTTTTATTATTTTATTTATAAGCTGTCTTTCCCCCAATATGGGGATCCAAGGTGGCTTATAATATTAAAAGAATAGAATTAAAAACAAATTTTAAAATTTAAAAAGAAACAAACTACACTAATTCAAATACAACTAAATAATTAAAAGCAGGTAAACATTAAAAACTGCCGTGCTTCCCTGAAAATAAGTCAGGTCTTATATTGATTTTTGCTCCAAAATATGCAGTAGGGCTTATTTTCAGGGGATGTTTTATTTTACAGTTATGTCATTTTCTGGTTGCCGCACAATGGTGGAGAGCGGAGTTTCACTTAACTAGGGCTTATTTTGGGGGTAGGGCTTATATTATGAGCATCCTGAAAAATAGTACTAGGGCTTATTTTCAGGTTAGGTCTTTTTTTCGGGGAAACAGGGTATCATACAGCTAGGGAGCAAGACTTCAGTTCTGTATCCTGACAGATTTTCTTTGCCATCTCCCCAATACCGTTACTCCAAAATGGATATATCTTACTCCAGGACCAAGAAAAAGATGAAAGACTAGGACTCAAATGTGTCCAAGAAAATACCTAATGTAAGTAGTGCTAATGAAGACAAACAATATAAACCAGGGGTCATCAACCCCCGGTCCGCGGCCCAGTGCCGGTCCATGGGCTTCCCGTAACTGGGCCACAGACATGGATCTTCGGGGGGGTGCACAGACGAGTGTGTGTGTCATGCTTGTGGAGAGGCATGTCACACTTGCTTGTGCTAATAGTGTAACAATGTGCTAACCATTCCACCAGCGCCCCTTGCAGGAGAGCAGTGCCCCTTCCCTGCAGGGAAACCGCCACATGGCAGCCCACCTGGGAAGTGTCAACACATTCCACCAGCGCCCCTTGCAGGAGAGCAGTGCCCCTTCCCTGCAGGGAAACCATGGCAGGGCAGCCCACCTGGGAAGTGTCAACAGCTCGGCGCCACCCCACCCAGGGTGAGCGGGCAGGCGGGAGCCCAATCGTGCTGCTTCCTGCCCGGCCGACTCTTCCTGAGCAGGAAAGGTGAGCCGGGCCAGGCTGCATAGGGTGCTGCTGCTTGTCCGTGGAACTTCCAAGGTTCCGGAAGGGCGGCTTCCCCGCTGCTGCCGCCCCTGAGTGTGGCTCGCCTCCTGGGGCCTCCCATTGGAACCTCGCTCCCACCCTTCCAGCGGCAGCTCCGTCACTCATGGCGGCCCTTCCCGGCAGCCCTCGCCTCCTCCTTCACTGGTAGGGGAAGCATCCCCTGCCACCAGAGCCCCACTTCCCTCGCCGACAGTCCATTTGGGCAGCTGGCGTAAAGGAAGCAGAGTGACTCTGGCTCCAACAGCGCCGCAGCCATCCCTTCAAGGGCCATCACTGGCCCCGTCTCTGCCGGGGACCACATGGCGGGAGCAGCGTCTGCTGCTGTTTGCCGGGTCGGTCGGTTTGGAAAGAGCTGCTGCTTCCTTCATGCCAGCCGCCCGAATGGACCCCCACCCCCAGTCAAGGCGCTGCTTCCCCACCGGGGATTTGCTTGCCTCTTAGGTGAGTGAGCCTTTCCTCTCCCTCGTCTTGGCGCGTGCCTCTCCCTTCAGCCATGAGCGCTGCCTCGCTTACATCCCTCCCCTGCTTCCATCGCTTGCTCATCCTCTCTGTCCTCTCTCACACCTCCTGGAATTGCGCTCCGGGCGGTGCAATTCCCACGAAGCGGGCAGGTTCTCGTAGGAACCCGCTCCACAGAACTCTTCGAAGTGAGCATGGAGGAGAGATCTCGCATTTCTCCCAGGCTACTGCTCCAACCGGTTCAGAGCACTCTCGGTGCATTGAGAAAAGCAACCCACCCACTTCTCACTGATGCTGTCAGCTGAGTTTTCCTCCCTTCGGGAGAATTCTAGTCCACGTCCAAGGGCCGGGTCCCCAAGATCTCTCTCAGTCCTATCAGCCAGTTTAAAACAGGGCTCCCCAGATGGGCAGCCATGGCATCTTTCCCTTCCTCTGCATTTCTTCAAGCAGTATACCTGGAGTTCTTCAGTGTGGGAGTGAGCCTGGTGGAACTCGCTACATCTTAGTTTTAAGTAAAGCTGGCCAAGTATTCTGGAAAGTTTAGGACTGAGACACACTGATGCATTGCACTTACTCCCAAGTAAGCAAGCACAGGCAGGCAGGCAGCCAGACCTACTGAAATGGGTGGCACTTTTTTTACAGTGAGGTTTCCATTGCCTGTGTAGTGGGATCACAAGACTCTCTCCCTTTCTGGCGACCTTAGTCTAGCGCCATCACCTTGTGAGGCGTCTCTCAAGCCCCCCCCCGCCCGCCCCAGGTGTGAGCTTCTCCAAAGCGAACCTCTCAACAACAGATGCCGCCTGGCCGGTGCTCACTTCCCTTTTCCTCTCGCAGGAAGAGTCGACTGGGCAGGAAGCACCAGGGTCACGTGTGCGCTCTCGCCCAGTGGCCAGCCGACAGCGCTTCCCAGGCAGGCTGCCCCGCAGCAGCTTCCCCGCAGGGAAGGGGCGTTGCTCTCCTGCAAGGGGTGCTGGAGAAATGGTTAGTAGCACACTGTTACACCGACTATTAGCACGAGCAAGCGTGACACAGCCACCCGTGAGCGCAGGGGTGCCCCACCCCCAACCAGTCTGTGCACTGAGGTCACAGACCCCAAACGGGCCACAGACCGAAAAAGATTGATGACCTCTGATCTAAACCATATCCTCTTTGAAGACCTGCGGTCAATGAGGTTTGCTTTCAAGCATTTATGTAACTCAGCTTAATCTATCTCTGACCATTTGAATTGATAAACACATATATGGTTACCTATTTAACAGGTACAAATTTACATCTGGATACCAAATAGTATATATGGGTACTATAAATTTGCATCTGAATATTTCTGAAGCAAGAGTACTATGTTTCACGAAGACATATGCATTTGTATCCAGCACTGTTTTCAAAGAGGCATTCTGGTTTTGCAAATATGATCTTGTACAAAAAATATATCTTAGAACAAAGTGCTTGCTATCTTCAGTTTTTTCCAGACATACGCACGCTCGCATGCACACACTTATGAAAAGTATCAGTTATACTTTTTTTTAAATCACATTTTAAAAGCTTCTGCCCAGATAAGCTCTTGCACATTTAGGGGGGAATATTTTAAAATACACTGAACACTGCAACAATTTATCAGAGAGACAGCTTTATTAAACACTGCAGTCCTACTGCCAGCTAATTAGAGCAGAAAACAAATGTTAACACTCAAAACAAGGAAGTCTGTTCTACTTACTATAGCCCATCAATTCTCCTCCAGGTGCTTCTGCAACAATAAAATATTCTGGCCAATGAGCCAAGTACTGCAAGTAAAAGGGAATTCCATACTATAGAGTATTCTGTGTTAAGAAAAGTTCACTACAATAAGTAAAGCACACGTTCAATACTTCAAGTTGGCTTAATTTTCATGATATTATGACACCAATATGATGAAATAATTATTAGCACTAACTGTGAAGTTTGGTGCAACTGTATGAAGGGAAGAAAGAATATAAATAAGATCAAAAAAGTTTACCTAACTGAATATCAAAATATAAAATAATTAAAAGTGAAAATTAGTTTGGAAGCTGTGTTATACACTTCTATTCTCTATCAAAATAAGATTTTCCATCAGATGTATCTCCAAGCTCTTTTACGATGACATTTTATGGACCACCCATAAAACAATATGTGATTTTCTACAAACTGCATTTTGCAAGTATTTATGAGACTGGTATAGTTGCAGAATACTTTTGTGATTGGCTGCAACTCCCTAAAATTGTTGAGTGGCAAACATAAAATTTGCTGCAGTGTATACTATAATGTATACAATGTTCTACTATCGCTGTACTGTAGTTATCATTCCTCAGAATTAAAAGGATACAGTCTCTGTAAGAGGATCCAAGTTGCTGTGGGACACAAGAATAGCTGGTTAAACACTGAAGAAAGGTCAAGGGAGGAACTTTTACGTGAAAATGGCTCTTAGGAACAGCTGGAGAAAGGAAAATCCTTCTACCTTCTCTCTCCCCACACTGCAGTTCCTAATAATCTCCAAATTAACTAGTCTGGCAATGCGACACTTTCTGGCATTCCTCTGAAAATCCTTCTACCTTCTCTCTCCCCACATTGCAATTCCTAATAATCTCCAAGTTAACTAGTCTAGCAATGCTACAAGACACTTTCTGGCATTCCTCATCATTCCAAGATATCCTGGAATATTTTGCCACCGATACATCTGAGAGGCTGAGGGCCTGAAGAGGCTAAATGAGAATTAGTAATATTCAATCGATTGCTACAGCTGTGCCTTGAACAGTAGTTTAACAAATCCCTGTCTGTGCATGGTACATGTCTGGCTGGATAGCTCAGTGATGTAGGTATCTGTCTGCAGAGCCAAAGGTTGGGAATTCAATTCCCTGCTGTGCCTCCTGAGAGAAAAGCCAGCCTGTATGACCTTGGGCAAGCTGTACAGTCCTTAGGGCACACACCCCTCAAAGAAGAGAAGAGTAAACCTCTTCTGTGTATTATTCTCTACCTAGAAAACTCTGGAAAAGGTCACCATAAATTGAAATCGACTTGATGGCATGCATAAAGACACAACGACCAAATACAAGCTGAACTGACTGCCTAAGGTTCTTGAGTTTGCAACAGCTGAGCTAAGCCACAGGATATTCTGGAGCTTGCTCATTCACAGGGCCACCATAAATTGTGGGCAATTTGACAGCACATCACAACAACAGGTTACAGTGCGAAAGTACGGCCACAGGATATTCTGGAGCTTGCTCATTCATAGGGCCACCATAAATTGTGGGCAGTTTGACAGCACATCACAACAACAGGGTACAGTGCGAAAGTAAAGACCAGCTAGCAAAAGGTTAAGGCTTTATCTGGCTGTGCCTTTTATCACTAATTTAAGATTAGGCCTGCCACAGGACCGAGCCAGAGGATTTGGGGAATGGATGAGACTGCGGTTAAAGAGGCACTGGAGCAGGGCTGCTCTATCCCCTTCCTTTTCTCAACCCACGAGGCTACCGCCACCAGTCTGTTAAGTCCCAGCAAGTGAAAGAGCCAAGGGCTTTACCGGCCAGAAGCAGGAACACTGCTTTAGGAAATCCGAAGGGGGAAAGGGTAGACGTCTGAGATATGGAAATAGTACGAACAACCCCTATTAACGGGGTACACTCACGATTTTCCTCTTTCTATATGTATGTGTATCTATATCTACCCCATTGAAGGAAAAGGTTTAGGTTTGTGAATGATGCAACGGNGGGGGGGAATAGGGGCCATTGCTGGTAAACCGCCATGGATGAGCCCCTCTCTCTGCATACGTGAAGGGAGGGAGGCAGCGTAGCCGGCGAAGGGCGCCAGATGAACGACAGAAACTGCCCAAAGCAGCTCCGGCCGCCTTTGGTTCCCCCCAAAAAACTCACGATCTGCCACCCGCCTCGTCCCGCCCTCTCCCTTTTCTCACATATTGTTGAAGCGGAAGAGATCGTTGCAGGTGAAAGCACGCAGAGAAGTCATGATTTTCCCTACTGGGATAAGCCACACAGAAGCTGACCCGGAACTAGTTTTCTCCGGTTCCGCCTAGAGAGAGAGAGATCGTTAGTTCCGTTTCGGCGGCGGCTTTGAAGCAGGGGCGGAGCGACGCGCGAGCCACTGAAGGCCCACCCCTTTGCGTCACAACGCTCCGCAAAGTGCGGATACACATAGAGATAAGAAAATAGCTGAAGGGGTTAGAGGTGGTGTGTTCATATTTACCGTCTTCCGTTCCTCGTTCCCGTGCGAGTTAGGATGGAAGCGGGGAGGAAATCACCCAAAATGTGTACCACTAACTTCATGGCTCTGGCTGAGCAATTTATAGGACCTGCTTTTTAGTCCGAGTCCTGGAAGTTCCACCGTTTGCCTCTGAAGTGGCTGGATTCCCCCTCCCCAAGTGTGCAAAATGGAGTGTAGGTGCAGCGAGCCACTCCAGCTGGTTGTTGTGGATGTGTCTGTGGCTAGCCTTCCCTTTGGCTGCTTAATAAAGAAATCTCCTGTTTCATGGCGGGCCCCCAAACTGTTCCAACTGGTCCTCTGCCAACATCCTCCTGAGAGACCTTTGTGCGTGCCTCTTTCTTCCTTTTGTGTATTATTATGATCTAACATGGTGTATGTGAGGAGCAATAGTGGATACAAGCTGCCGTCCACAGATAGCAGGTTGTTGACTGAAACTGGTGGAGTGGTGGCACTGAGACATAATCTTACATGTGGTTTTGAAGAGGGGTCTACTGGTCCCTTAGTTCATTGTAACTAAATCATAAAAAGTCTGTGTTGCACCTTAGAGAGTGAGATAATTATTATGAGATGTTTCTGTGGGCAGATATATGTAGTCTTCTCCTAGTTCAATAGGGAGAAGTATGTATAGCTATGTGTCACAGACATGCAATTACACACGTGAAATATAGGCACATGGTAAGAACATGGGAATGACATGCCAAAAATACACAGTAAAAAACTGATGTAAAATGGTTGCCAAGTCTTTAAGATGCCATAAATATAGCTTTTATTTCAAAAGACTAACGCAGTTGCCCTCTCAAAATAGTTGGTCTTGTTTCAGAATCTTCACTCTATATTTGTTAATGGGTGGGGCTTTTAGTTTCATAAGGAGAGAAAAAAATGTGGCATGTAGAATAACTTTCTGTCTCATATAATCATTCTTAGCTGAAAGGAAACCCTGCTTTCTTCAGTGGGTTAGTCCCAAGTAAATATAAACAGGACTAATTTACTACATGTTTCTTCTGAGGTTAAATGCCACTGACTGAGCTAAGTAAAATTCTCCAAATGATCATAGCTTTTCAGGCTGCACAGAGAAATGCATTTTGTAAAGAGCGTCCTCTTACTCCTAGCTAGCTGAGCAGACATCCCACTTCGCCTACACTTGAACGCTTAACATATTTGTGCCTCCCAAAGCTAATCCTGAATTTTGGCAGTCATTAGTTCAAGCTGGCAACTTGACCTACATATGGTAGTAATTTTAAGTGTGTAAAAATAAGTTGCAGAAAATATTACATGAGATAATAACATCTGCTCAGAAAAGGAACAGATTTTTTTAAACAGGAAGCAAATGACCAAATAAAATGCACTGTATATTCAGACAAAAGTTTTCTCCCTCCTTATCCGAAAACCAGAGCTTGAAAGTAACTAGGCAGAAGAAATCTTGTTACTCATGATTTTTGGGTAACAAATAATATTACTAGTCTTTACAAAATTGGCCAGGTGATCAATTCATAGAAACTATTTGAGATTAGGCTATGCTTTTATTGGATCAGTAAAAAGTGAGAAAACGAACTCCTGAGTTCTCCAAAACTCTGCATCTGCTTGGGGTGGGTTCCAAAATAGGGCCAGATCTGGCTAAAAAACCCTAAATTACCAACAAGACAAAATAGAGGATCAAGTCCACACGAGGCAGAGGGGAGAGAGGTACCATTTTGTAGCTTTTTCCCCAGGAGGGCTTTTTTCCCTCCCTTATCTCTTTTGGCGGCTTTCTTCATTTTGCCTTGTTGACTGAGTAACTTCATGACACATGGGAAGAACAACTGGTCCAATTTTTGAAATAATGACCTTCACCTCAAGTTTTTTATCATCGTCATTTGATGAAGAGTTCTGGAGAATTGAAAGGCTTATAAATTTAAAGCTCGTAACTTGAGTGGTTCAATAAATGTATTCCCTAGCCTTAAACTGTGTTTACTTGCAAACTTACTTTTAAAGGGCATTTTAAAATACATTGTGTTTTATTTTATTTTTATTTTTTTGCCATTCTGCTATCAATCCTAAATGGCAAAGAGAAGGTCAGGTTGTTTCTAACTTTGAGTGAACATCTTGAACTGACATTTCAGGGCTTTTTGCACCTGCACAGCCTTGTTTCAGAACCTTCCAAAGTGAGCTATAAGGTTTTTTTTGGGGGGGGGTGGAGCCTTATATATGTAGCAGTCCTTCCCTCCAATTCATTCAGTATCTTGTCCCCCCAACTAAGAGGTACTGTATATATAAAGACATCCACAAGAGGAAGATGGGCTGTGTGAATTCACAATCACACAAAGAAACAGTTACAGGTAAGCTATCTGTCCTTTGTAAAGATGGGCACCAACTGCCAGTTTGGCAGTTCATTTTTCGGCTCAACAGGTGTTCGGTGCTTCACAGCCCTGCCTCCTCCCGTTGATACCCACTCAGAGGCGATACCTTGGCTTCCCTGCCCTGTTTCCTCCGGATGCTACCTCTGAGTGGGCCCCTGTCAAAGGAAGCAGAGCTGGGAAATGCCACATACCTGTTTGGCTGAAAAACAACCCAGCACAAACCGCCAAAGCAGCAGTCCATGCCTGTCTCCGGTATTTTGTGATCTCTGTGACTCATCCACTACGGGAGATTAGTGAGCCTATAATTGGAAGAAGGGTAGATATCACTGGTGGATTGTGAATACAACAGTGCTGCCAAAATTATATCACATCAGTATTCTATAAATTAGGCAATTGGGACTATGCAGCAGCCCTACAGATAGCCTGGTAGCATGGCTTCCTTTAGAAAGGCAGTGGATGCTGTCATGGCCTGGATTGAGTGAGCTGAACATGTTGCAACACTGGGAGTGGATGCTGTCATGGCCTGGATTGAGTGAGGTGAACTGGGGATCCATCAAGTTCGCAGCACATTTTAAGACTGGAATTGCTTCACTTTGACAGCCTTTGGATACATACTGGATGGCCCAGGGGACCATAGCAGACAGATAAATGTTTAGTTTGAAGAAATGTCGCCGTTCACGAGATGTAAAAGGAAAGTGCCTGTCATACAACTAGAGTGTAAAGAGTCCTCTCTAAGGTAGTCGTTGGGTTGGGATAGAAGGTCGGGAAGATCAGGTCTTGAGGCAGATTAAAAGAATATGCCACCTTCTACAAGAAAGTGAGGTCCAGACAAAGAACAACCTTGTATTTGTGAATCAATTGGACGGTTGTATGTGGTGGAAGGGGTTTTCTGTCAGATTTTGCCCACAACAGTAGAGCATGGCTTCTGGAGAGATGTGTGTGGTCAATATGCTTCAACCAATGGATTTTAATCCTCAAGCAACTGGGAATGGGCCAAGATGGCCTCTTTCAAGGAAGCAGAGGGTGCTTAATGTTAGGCTTGGTAGGAGAAGAGGAAGACATTCTTCACCAGTGGAACCGCAAAACCACTTCCAGACTCTTGGAAGAGGAGTCCAGCAGACAGCATGCTCATCTAGAGTACTGTGTCCAGTTCTGTACACCACACTTTAAGAAGGATGCTGGCAAACTGGAACAAGTTCACAGGAGGGCAACAAAGTTGATCAGAGGACTGGAAACCACACCCTCTGAGGAAAGACTGAAGGAATTGGGCATATTTAGCCTGGAAAAAGACGACTGAGGGGAGATATGGTAGCACTCTTCAAATACTAAGATCATCATACAGAGGAGGGGCAGGATCTGTTTTCAGTCGTCCCAGAGTGCCGGACACATAACAAAGGGCTCAAGTTACAGGAAGCCAGATTTTGTTTGAATATTAGAGATGGGCATGAATCAGAAAAAATGTGATTTTGATTCATGATTCATCAAGGCTGATGAATCACAAATTAAGAATTTCCTATTTTTTCCTGATGAATTTACTTTTAAAGCCCTATAAAATACCCCCCAAACACCTAGAAACATCAAATTCACAGGGAAGCATCTCTATAAGCCCTGCACATTTGGTGAAGTTTGGGTTTCAGACGTCTGAGTTATACACCTACAAGAGGGCCCCCCAGAATCACAAATTAAGAATTTCCTATTTTTTTCCTGATGAATTTACTTTAAAACCCTATAAAATACCCCCCAAACACCTAGAAACATCAAATTCACAGGGAAGCATCTCTATAAGCCCTGCACATTTGGTGAAGTTTGGGTTTCAGACATCTGAGTTATACACCTACAAGAGGGGCCCCCAGGGACCTAGAGACACCAAAATCACAGAGAAGCTTGTACTGACTCTCGTCTACAATCCCATCAAGGTTGGTAAATATTAGGTTTGAAACATCCAAGTTATACACTGACAAAGTGGTTCCCCCTTTAGCAGCAGGCTTAGGGGAAACCTAATCTTCATCAAACTTGGAGGGATTGTAGAAGAGTCAGTACAAGCTTCTCTGTTATTTTGGTCTCTAGGTGCTGGGGGACACTTTCTTGGGGGGCTCTTTGAGGGTGCATAACTCGACGTCTGAAACTCAGTCTTCACCAAATATGGAGGAATTGTAGAGGAATGTCAGAGGAAGCTTCCCTGGAATTTTGGTTTCTCTAGGTGCTGGTGTGTGTTTTATATTTTATAACCAAACGAATACAAAATCACTGAAAATTTGTTGATTTGTATTTATTGGGGCATTGACATGTATGAATATGAATAGGCAAATTGGTGGTTTTTGAATGAATTTGGTGATTATTTGTTTAATTCATGCCCATCTCTAGTGAATATCAGGAAAACGTCCTAAATGCTAGAGCAGTACTATAATGGAACTAGTTACCTCAGGAGGTAGTGAGTGCAGCAATGCTGAAGGCATTAAAGAGGTCATTAGACAACCATCTGTCAGATGTACATTGATGTGGATTCCTGCATTGAGCATAGGGTTAGACCTGATGGCCTTGTAGATCCCTTCCAATTCCATTATTCTGTGATTCATTTACTGTTATGCAGGAATTTCAAAATCTGTCATTTGTTTCTTAGGACAGAGAGAAATAAAATATATTAAAAAATTTAAAATAGCAAAAAAAAGATAGTGCATTTTTTAAAAAGGTACAACTACGAACCTTTTGTGAGTTTCAATTTAATTCTTTGTCAACTTCTGCTTGCTGTTCAACAGTTTAAACTCAACTATCTTTTAGTTTTTTCACTGTAATGTAGTTGCCCATTGAAATTGACTGAGAATTAGCAGGAATTTAAAGCATAACAATTACAGCTATGCAGCAGAGTTACCAAGCAAGGCACTTCTAATCCATTAAGTAAGTTTCTTTAAGGAAAAAAGATATAAAGAATAATTAAGTGTTGGTTCTTAGGCAATGACAAGAAATACCAGTTGTTTTGATCTCTGCATGAGAGGGGAAGGAGTAGGTAGCACACACAGCAAAGCACATGGGATTGTTATAAATAAGCATTGGTTCAAAGTCAAGTTGACTCTGGTAGAGGAAGCAAAGCAAAAACCACTTTTAAAAAAAAATCAGCTTGAATTTGTGCTCAGTCTATCCAGGCTCTCGGCTCACAATTTCATATAAGCAGATTTCCACCACTACATAAATGAAAAATATCAAACAAGTTAATCTGTTTTCTATGTACTTTTCCACACAGTATGATATAGATTTTCAAAACCTGCATCCATAATATGATTTGCTAACTGAAACTTACTAGCCATGTCTGGCACATGGATATAAGATCTATTATGTTGCTATGTAACTGGCTGGATAGCTTGTTGTACTAGGTACACTTCTGTAGAGCCAAGAGGGAGAAGAATAAATCTGTGTAAACTTGGGTAAGCTGCACAAACCTTCAGTGCCCATAGAAGAATAGAATAGTATTTTCCAAGTATTTTATACCTAGAAAATCCTGGAAAGGGTTGCCATAAGTCGTGACTGACTTGTTGACATACCTCACATCCCCAAAAATGATATGTGTTATCAAGTAACTTAGAACAAATGGTGGCCCCATGAAATAATGACTAACACTAGGACTGAGAAAACCCACAAAGCCATGATAACTTACTAGAATGGCAATGGTAAAACCAGCCAATAGCTCCCAGGGGAGGAGTTTGAAACCACACCCCTAATGGTGTTTGCAGCCTGGATTTTGGAAATCACCTTTAAGAAGCTGACCTGGCACAGGACACCTGCCAAGAATTCTGGGGACTCTCCTAGCATTAAGATATGGTTGCTCAATATTACAGTTCCAAGGTCTACAGATAAAGAACTCCTTCTTGTAAAATAATTCTTTCTTTGCCACCATTTTTGAAGCAGTTAGTCTACACATTCAGTTGCCAGTTAGTAATTCCAGAAAAATTAAGGATGGGTTTTCCCTATCTAGATAGGTTCGCTATCTAAACCTCCATTCAAAACGGCTAATTCTTTAGATCCGTGTATCTGATAATGAAGAATTAAATTCAGAATATCCTCTTCCACACATAAATATATACACACATACATATATATTATGGTAAAGTACTACAAAGTATTATGTGCAAAACTACTGCTTTATCATTTACAAAATGAAATACAACATAAACACATGTCAGTGTAACAGATGTGTGACAAAATCAATGTACAAAGCATATAGATTTTTATGTACTGGGGACAGACACCAACATTTTTTTAAACTTCATAACCAATGAAGAGTTTGGCAAAGGAGAGCAGTCAAGTGGCTTTGAAGACACCCTCACTACCCAGACAGACAACATTCTTGAAAATTCTGGATTTGGGTAAGTTCATTACATTATGATCCAGGATTTTCAAGAACACATTATACATATTTGTGGATTTGATTATGCTTATTATAGAGGTGCTGTTTATTCTACAAATCTAGTGTTACCCATTTTCCCAGATTAAATGGTGATCGTAATGGAAAATTTAAGTTGCTAATTTGTGAACTAGTGAAGATTAGGAACATTCCTAACTCTGGTGCAATATCTTGAATTTTGCCCATTTCTGCTAGTCTGTAGTAACCGCCACAACAGGGCACATTAATGTTTGGATTTCATACAATGTTACATAATTACCATATTTAAGGCTGGAATGTAGTTTCTCCCACATCAGTGGAACTAACCATTTTTTTGGCTCCATGGTTCTTTATGTGATGAAGAAAATTCGTAAGTTTTGCTGTACATAATAGCAGTGGTTCTCAACTCTTTAGAAACTCCACCAATTACTCTGTTAAATAGCTTGGGTATCACCATGAGAGAAACAAAAACCTATCTTCTTCTGAGGAGAAAACTTCAATAGTTATAGGCATTTTGCTATTACATTTACCATTTAAGGCAAGCTGGTGTGCAGAGGTAATGGGGTAGGGGAAACACACGAGTGTCCAAGATTACTATTGCCTGTAACCAAAAGATCACAGATGAGCAGTCAACTGCAGCTGGGGATGGTAGGAAACCATGTCCCACCTGCAAGAGATCAGGGAAACTGAGGGAGTGTTAAATTCTAGTTGTTATGAAAAGCCAGCATCCCAACTAAACTGCTTCTGTGTCTCATCAGTGGTAACATGTACCGTTGGTTGAGCAACACTGCAGTAAAAAAGATGGAGTGGCACATTCAGTTTCAGCGTTACCTTTCCATTGCCAGCAACCCAATCTAGCCACTTTTATTAGAAAAACACTGCTATGGCATTCAATGGAACATATTCCCAATCATCAAAGACAGGATTGTTAGCTAAAGTCTAATCTTAACTAGCAAGTGAATCAGGTTTTTGATTAAGCAAATAGACTCAGCTATACCAGGTTACTTATAGGTGATACCATTTTCAGACACTTTCGCTACATTTTTTTTTAAAAAAACTGCAAGTTAAAAGGGAGGGGGGAATCTCTTAACACAATGGTGGAGAAAAGTAAAGAAAGAAAATTCACTCCCACATCATTCAGCTGCATGTGTAGACTAAGCCCAATGAGTCGTTTTCCTGTTACCTTTAGACAGAAACTTACAACTTGTATCTCAGTACCTACTGAAACCATTTATCTGTTCAGCCACAGTCTAATGTATGTTACTAATTTCAGTGTGTATAAAACAGTTAAATGCTTCAATTCATCTTGCTGCTGTTTCTGACACAACAGATGTCAAGTCAGTATTTGCACACCTACAATATTTTAAAACAGTTTCTTTTCCCAGTCTCCTTCAACCATATTCTGAAAATAGCCTGAACCAGCAGACTAGTTTTCTTCACAATGTCACTGTATTTATTTGAGTAACTATAACCCGCTTTTACCCTTAGCAATGTCCATCAGGAAGCAGAATCAGCATCCCACGATCATACACTGAACCACAAGAGGATAAAAAACCCATCCCAGTTACCCTTGTTCTTTGTCTTCAGCTCTGCACTACAACACTTGTTAATGTGTATTAAGGAGCATCTAATAGTATTAAGTGATTCTGAACACGTCCCTTGACACTTTTCATTCCTAAAGCAGGCTTCCTACCTCCTTACACTACCCTGCTCTTTATATTCACACATTTCAAATCCCTCATATCTCAATCTTCTTCCTGTCCGCTCAAGATTGTAGTATACAAATAATAATTCATAAATTGGTAAATCAGGTTTTGAAGGCTTTGGCAGCCAATGTCAAAAATTCAAATTGTTTACAGAATCATATCAATTTTTTAAAAAATTGATGTTTGATACTTAAAAGAAGCCCTTAAATCAGGGTATAAAAAGACAAAAAATATCACAAAAATATTCATTGTAATACTCTAAAACCAGCAAGAGATTTATTTTGTATATTAAGTGTTAAAAATCACATGCATAATTATAGAATATTTCATAGTTTAAAAAAATATTTTAAAACTAACCATGACAGTTAACCTGCAACTGCTATAAAATTTCTGTGAAATATATAAAATCATGTCGCCTTCTGTAAAGTAATAATAATAATGAAACAACTATTTTACAAGAAGGCTATTACCATCCATGTAACAGAGATTACTGATGCCCTGCATCGGATAGTATTGCTGAGATGGACAGTCTACCAGCTACTTTACAAAAGGTCTGTCCATCTGAATATTTAAATGAAAATAGTGCTTGAACTAAGGATATGAATAAAATACAGTACAGATTTGCAGATGGATATACTGCACTGTATTTGAGAAGACCAAGATCCATGAAGGTCAGCTCCAGTGACAGTACACTGTTGTGTTGCTGTTCTACAGTGTACAACTTCCTAATTGTTCTGTTTATGCTTATTTACAGCAGGGAGGGGTAGCTTTGGAGGGGCCAGAGGGTCAGTATTATAGCCACAGTTACTGGAGGCTACACCAGCAGCCCTAACAATGAGCAAAAAGTACAAAAATATCAAAACTGAGTGTTGTCAAAATTTCATTTCCAGATTCATTTTTGTGGGTTTGTTTGGGTAATGAGCCCTGCTCCCACCTTATTGCAAAACAACCACTCCTAAAGGCTTCAAGAAGTGAGAAAACACCTTTTTTCCCCCCTTTTTGCATTGACACATGGGGCTTCATTTTGCCCACCTGATTTATAGTCAGTGAGAAGAGTTGTTCATATACTTACTGGGCATTTAGTTCAGGAACCTGAACAACACTTACTGTCAAAACCAATTCACTCAGTGCATAAAGGATTTTTTTCAGCACTTAAAATACAGCAAAGAGAAGTGTCAACTTTATGAAGTGTGGTCGCTGTTGTCATTTGGAAAAATGGCCCCATAGGGGTCACTGCCGATGCGCTTATAAACAAAATGGAAGACCTGGGGCTGTGGCCGACTGTGCAGTTCAGCTTTGATTTTCTGAGGATAGGTGTCTTCTGTCAGCTGCTGCCAGGTGTCATCGATGAAAAGAAACAGGCTGTAATCATCAGGATTGTCCACTTTAAACTTCTCAGCACAGAGCTGACACACATCTTCTGTTGTAATATACGGTCGAACTAGCAAGGTTTTTCCTGTGCACCCACTGTTTACTTCCTGGAACGCAACCCGTAGGTAGTTCTGTGAAACAGAAAAATAGAGGCAAGAATTTTAAATCTAAGGCCTGATAAAAACATCTTCCACACTTGCATCTGTTTTCCTGCACTCTGCAAACTGAAATGCAGCTTCTCTTGTTATTTAGTCAGAGGTGTCCAAAATGTGTTGCAGGCAGAGCTAAAATACCCACTAAGACTGCCAGACTCTGCCAGCCAGTGAAAAATCATGTTTCCAAGCTCTCCTTCCAAGTAATCTTTGAGTCCCCTAGAACAGTGGTCCCCAACTTTTTCTGAACTGTGGACCGGTTTGGGGGGCAGGGGTCTGTGCTCGCAGGTGGGGGCGTGTTTGCAGATGGGTGGGATGTGCTCACGTGCATGCGCGGATGGGCAGGGCATGCTCACACACATGCGCAGATAGGTGAGGTGTGCGAGTGAAGGGGCAGGGCAGGGCACGCTTGCACGCATGCTTGGATGGGCAAGGTGCATTTGTGGGTGAGGCACCCATGCATATGGGTGGGCAAATTGTCTGTACGTGTTGGGTGCGTGGGGGCGGGAGAGCTGTCTCCATGGCCCAGTCCTGCCATGATGTTGGACCAGCTCTGGGCCGTGGACCAGGGGTTGGGGGCTCCTGCCCTAGAAGATCATCCAGTTTTCTCAGTGAAGTCTGAAATCACGGAAGAAAAACATCCCAAATCGACAGCTTTTCTACCCCTAACTGCAGATTTAAGTGTGGAGAAGCATGTTCTGTGTTCTGGAATGCGCACACACCAAGACAGTGAGGCTTAGTAAGCCTGGCTTGCGTGACTCAATAGTACATCCCACAACACATCCCAGAATCCTCTACAACAGGGGTCCCCAACCCCCCCATTCGTGGCCTGCTGCTGGTCCCTGGGCTTGCTGGATCTGGGCCATGGAGACGGATCTCCCCCCCCCACCTGCCCACATGGTGGGTGTCTTGAGCTCGCAGAGGGGCATGCCATGCTCACACACATGCTGCACTCCTGCGCATGTGGGCAAGTGCAACACACACACCGTGAGTGCCGGGGAGCCCCCCCCACGCACAGGGCCCAGCCCCCCCAACCGGTGTGCGGTCCCAAAAAGTTTGGGGACCACTGCTCTACAACATGCAAGAATTCACCAGCAAAACAAAAACAACAATCTTGATATAGTAAATGTTCCCTGAAGACAGAAAGCAAGTAGCTCCAGGGTCAGTTTTTATTCCATTATTTCTGTACGTCAGTATGTTATTTATATGCCACCTTTCTTCTCCAAGGGGACCCAGGGGCTCACAATTAAAAGAATACAATCATCACAGACTTTAAATGCTGTGAAAAAAAACATTAAATTGGAAAAACAATTTAAAACAATTTAAAACATATTTAAAATATCTATATTCAATAAATATATCATATTCAATAAATATACCACAAGAAGGCTCCTTTGAGGTGATATGGTCCTTCAGATAACCTGAATCCAAGTCTATTCATGTAAGCAAATAAATTATCTAATGGCTCTGACACTTCCTTGGTTTGGTATGTCCCAAAGTTTTCAAACCCTTAATTGAACTGACTCTCAGCTATATGCAGAAGGTTGATGAATTATTCCTAAGGCTTTTTGAAGAGCAGTCGTTGTGCTAAGAAACCCCTAATATTGAAGCCACTATGCAGCTGAGTTTAGGAATCAAAATAGGACCCTAGATCTAACAAGGAGAATTTAGGAATTTGCCGTCTATAGTCACAATTCTTCGAGCTACGAATGACAGGCTTTCTCTGCTAGTGGCCTGGACAGATGACTACACCTTCTTCGCAGACACTGGGGCTTCATCTGCTTCACTGGCATTTTTGTCCTGCAGAACACAAATGCTTCTAAAGTTTGCTTCTTGGCATCACCTTAAAGAAGGAAATTGCTTCAGTGAGATATTTCTTTCTGTGATTAGAAAGATCAGTTTGGGAGGCGCTCTCTGAGATGATTTAGAAGTGAATTTTTTCAGAGCTGTACTTGAGCATCAGTGCAAACTATGCTAATTCTACACAATACTGTGGGAGCTTCCTTGTCAAGCTACTGCCATTTTACGTGTTATTGTTTTGGAATATGTTTCTATATGTAATACATTCACAGATGTTATTAAGCAGATGTTTCTTGTTATTCGCATGCCAATGTTATTCTCAAGTTTCTTATATTTTTGTTATATGGAAGTGTTTCTCCCTCTTGACTTTATGTGCCTGTGCAATGCACATTTTAATGTTTTTATATACTTTTTTATAAAGTCATTTGTGCTTGGTCCTAAAAGGAATCCCAAAATCAGCTCGCAAAAAGCCAATAAAAATACACTGAAACTAAGTGTAGAATAAAGCCATGAAGATGTAACCCATGGAGAAGACAGAAAAAAATGGTTATATTTCTTCCTTCTAAACTGAAAAAATATAGATATACTGACTGGGAGGAGAGACTAGACTGCAGTCTATGAGGGAAGATATATACATGAAGGGAAAGGATTAGAGAAAGCAGAAAGAGGGGAGAGAAAATAGAGACTGAAAAAAGTAGAAATGAGGAAGGAAAGGGAAAAGAGCTGAGTATGCATATTGGAACATTGTTTGTCCAAAGACTGCATTAAATGAGTCAGTTGAGGAAGAGACTCGATCAAATTTAGGTTAAAATGTGCATTCAGGATGTAACAATGTAGGCTTTTGTTACTAAGGTGAAAAAACACTTGGTATGTTTACTTTTCCTTAGATGTCCTCCCATATGTTTCCAAGGTTTGCAGCCTAAATGCTGGAGGCTGCTGGCCAAGAATAAAATGCAGGCAGTAAGACACAACTTTAGCTTTCTTTAAAAACACTGTTGAATTTCTGCAAAGCTAAACCGAAATACAATCTGGATCACTATTATTAACAGAATAATATACCAAAATGGCAACAGCTTTGAAGGAAATGTTGTCACAGAACGGATGGTTTGAGAGCAGAATATTTTAACTGAATATAGTGGATACAAGGCATCATGTTCTTCCTTGAGCTTCATGGCTGAGGAGGAAGCCTGAACATCACCCAGGGCAGTCTAAAGCCATCACTTGTTATACCCTGTTACTCACTATAACCAAGCACACTGTGCTCAGCCACATACAGATCACAGCTGCATCAGCGGGGGGGTGGGGGTGGTCAACTGTACCTGAAAATCGTCAACAGAGGGAATTGTTCTGTTTGTTGTCCTCCGCTTATGCCATTGTCTAAGGGTGTTTCGGGCCTCTGAACACAACAGTCTTGCTGCTTGTTCTTCTTGAAAATTCTTGATTAAAGAAAGTGCTCCATATGCACTTGTCAAGTAGTAGCCCCCTGTGAAGATGTTACAGGAAGAGAGTTTCAAAATTAATCATTACCACCAGCTTGGGTACTATGGATCTAAGATTCTGTAATTCTTTTGTAGTTCACACAAGGCAATGATAAAGCTTAAGAATTCAGGCTGACATAGTATGTTAATTTAACATCTTTCATAAGGTCCCCCAAAATGATAATCAGAAGGCAGACATTTTATGGAAAAAAAATGCTTAAGTAGAATGGTTTCTCTGTAAACAGAAATGTCAATGAGCATTATGATAAAATTAGAGCAATGCTGTTTGAATAGATTCTCAGTATCATATACTATGGCAAGCATGGCAGAAAGGTCTGCAGCATCACAGTAACAGACCTTGGGTAATTATCGCCTGCTCTGATGTTTTGTATACTTTTCTCAGTCCCACCATCTTCAATGGTCTTCCAATTGAATTCTGCCTGCCCACCCCAGCCAAGAATTTCTGGAAATCACAAATGTGTTTGCAACAATCTGTATACACACATGGAAGTTTGAGACAGTCTGAAGGCCAAGGAAGTATCAGCATCCAGCCACTTGGCAGGAAGCTTGGCTCCATTTGTTTTTGTTTTGCTCTTGGAAGGAGAATTTCCTTGCCAGATTTAACTGCGTCAGCATTCTTTTGCTTTCAGCTGTCCCAAGATGGGAGAGGCTGCTGGAAGCCTTCCCTGTTCCATGCTTGAAGTAAGACAAATAACTACATATGTGGGACAAACTTCAGAGAAATGCTACTGAACTCTTTAGAATAGAAGATGAATTTCCAGCTCCTTTTTAATTCCACCCAAAATGATTACAAACCACTCATTCCAAGTTATCAAGTGAGGAAGTAATGAAGAACTCCTTTAAATACAGAAAGATTTCCCATGCTTTTTGTCCTCAAGTTTAGCCTATGTGAAAAGTAGGAAAAGTACTTGTAACTGCAAAAATATACTGAAATGTGTGTCAGAAAAAATAGTAGTTGAAGCAACCATAAGAAGGTTACAGCATGTACTAATACAGCACAATGATTAGAAAACTAAACTACAGATAAGGAAGTTCTCAGTTAGAATTCTGCCTCTGCCATGTTTTCATGCTCATCCACTTTCTCCATCTGCGAGACAGGGATAAAGACACTGTGAAGTATACACAAGACGTCGCACAATTTCAGTGTAAGTAGCATGATGTAATACATCAGCTCACTGTACTAAACTGCTCTATGGTGTAGAATATTCTATTACACACATGCACACACAGAGCTACTCCTATCTGCAAAACAACAACAAACAAACAGCAAACACCATCAAAAACACCTTTCTTCTGAACGAACTGTAGGAGGTAGGCTGGCCAAGATTCTGAAATAGCATGCTATGAAACATCCATATGAAACTGAAGGAAGACTCCTGGCCACCTCTGGATGTCAGGTCTATAAAGCAAATGAGTTATTTGTTATGAAAGCTCACCAAAGTAAAAGAACAGCTTTTCATATTACAGAATACAACTGTTTATAACACAATTATTTTCATAGCTCTTTCCAGATCTTGCAGCAGCCTATGCAGTCTGATCCACACTTCCAAACGCAACAAGATAAGTACGTCACACTCAATAAAGGCACAGAAACACTATCGGTTACATGGAAATATACTGTTTACATGGAAACCTATCCTTAGAGCAAAGCTTCCTTCTCCAACTCTCTACACCAGAGGTGAGCAACTTCAACAATGCAAGTGGGCTGTGTTCAGATTGGCTGACTATGCAAAGGCTACATTCCAAAGGGGACATAGCAGTTTTTTTTTCCTTTGGGTTGGTAATGTTCTTTTAAACATTTCTTTTTGTTCATTAACTATTCTTCCTTAAATAAATTTAATATCCTTTTCCAATGTACAAGACTCTCCTCATGAAATAATAGGCATTAAACCTTACTAGACATATAATTATATTTATAGATCTGTTAAACAGATTTAACAAGGCAGCACTGAACAGCAGAAGAGAGCATCAAAACTTTGTTGTTCTTAGATGTCAAAAGAGTTCCTCACAAGAGACTTGCAGCTACAAGAACAATCTGTTTCTAAGCGAGTTGATCAACAAATTGGGAAATCAGATTCCCAGAAATATAATTTAATAGAGAACAGCAGAATGAAGACTTCTGAAGTTAAGATTTTTAAAACACACACACACACACACACACAATAATAATATAAAAAAAAAAAACACACACACACACACAAACACACACACACACACACACACACACACACACACACACACACACACAAACCTAATAATTTCTAATAGCCTGATTAAAATGCTAATCAACTCAAAGGAAAACTCAAATACATGCGGACTCACAGACTGCGGCTAATTTGTGGCAGAAAGACTTTGCCATGGGGGCAGGGAGGGTGGAGAAGCTGTGACATGAGCAACACCAGATGCAGGGAGCACTGCATGAGAAGCCATTGTCACCCAGAAGAGTGCTCCTGTTTTTCCATTTCTGCCCCACACATTGTCAAACCTTACCTGGGCAAATGCCCTCCCCACAAAAGCCCTTCCACCCACCTTGTGACACAACTAGGGGAAGTGACCAAGATTGCTTCAGGTGATAGAGGCTTTCTTTCTGTTTTCATGAGGCATGTGGTTTGCCAGAAATGTTTGGCAGCGGATCATGCCTCTGATGTTTGGCAGCAGTAACTTTTTATTTTTAACCAAATATTTCTGGGAGTGCTGGGAGTCCACAAAAATGGACTTGTCTACAAGCTGCACTTTTCCCACCCCTGTTCTTCACTAACAGGAACACACAATCTAGCTTGGTGGGGTTATCTCTCTGTTTTGTTTATAAAGAACTACCTGATAAGCTCTTCACAATAGCCTGAGGCTTTGGGATTCTTTTAAAGACTTCAGGGGTGTTATCGGTACTCAGATTCCTGACGGAAAGCATCATCCTCGGGGGTTTCAAGGATCTTTACCTTCTCCATGCAGCAAGGATGGGTCCAGCAGCTCCATCATATACTCAATTTCAGCATCTAATTCCAGCATGTCACACTGAGCAACAACATAGGTCAGCACAGGCAGGAAGTCATCAGCGCCATACATTCTCCCTTGGTGGAGGACAGGGAAGAGTGGGAGAAAAAAAAACAAGCATTATCACAACTCACTGTCAAATCTTTCTGTGGCTTTCCATTGTAAAAAAAATTATCTTCTGCATAACTGAAAGCAATATTGAATTAACCCTGTAATGAACAAATGTTGTTATTTATTTATTTATTTATTTATTTATNTTTATTTATTTATTTTATATCCCGCCTATCTGGTCAACTAAGGACCACTCTAGGCAGCTAACAGACAAAGAATAATAAAAATATACATGTTTCACCACATATTGTACCACTACTGGATCCCCTGCTGTAAAATTACTCAATAGTTTGTAAAGGATCCAGAGATGGTTACGACTGCAAACCAGATAGACCTTTTTCTTTAAAAGAGCATTCATCAATATGTATTTTGCATACTTTCACTACCTGCCTTACAGTCTGGGGACACTGAGATCTTTAAGAGTGGAATATTGGTGTAGTGTGTCTCCAAAGTGGTTTAGCGGACAGAGCAATGAACTAGAACTCAGAAGAGCTGGCTTCAAATCCCTGATTAATCATGGAAACTCACATGTGTATATGTGTGTGTTGAACTGGTAAAACTACTCCTTAAAAATCTTCTTAAATACCTTGAAAACCCTGTTAGGGTCACTATAAGTCTGATGTTACATGTTGTTGTTTAGTCATTTAGTCGTGTCCGACTCTTCGTGACCCCATGGACCAGAGCACGCCAGGCCCAATGGTGGACAATTAACTATGGCTGAGGCAAAGTTAAGAACTGAAAACAAAGTGAGTCAAGCATTAAACTCAGATGCTTTTTGAGCAATAGAAGCAGGACCTGTCTGTCTGGAAACACCTTAGAAGGCTGGATTAGAGCCAAATGTTTCTAATAGAGATGAGTGCAGCCCATTAATATCCTGACATCTTCAAAGGCTTTCAACAACAAATATGATAGAGGGCACAATTACACTATTGAAATAAATAAGGAGCTGGATCAGGGGTTTTGAAGTCAATTTAAAGTCATGTGGCAGTCACACAGTTTTTGGGTCGATGTATACAGTACATGCTCTTTTACTCTGTTTTTAAGCAGTGTTGTATATTGGTTGAAGGGGCTACACGGGCTTTTAAAATCATTGCATTTGAGACTTTGTCCTGTGTCTGTCTACCCTCACACTGGCATGTTTGATTGACTCTGCAGGGTTTGTCAAGTAATGGATGCCAGGATCATGGGTTTCAGACTATAGGGAAACCTTGCAGTCTGATCTGTTAGTTTTCTTTTTCTGTCTGTAATACTGAAATAGCTATCTCAGTTGGAAAAAACTGGGGGGGGGACAAATATTAAAAACAACACTGGCAGCAATTACAACAAGTGGCTGTGAGAGGCAGCCAATGCAAGGGCAGGCAGGTGAGTGAAGGAAAAAGCCTCAAATGCAGTGAGTTTGCAGTGCACACCCACTCTCACTCTGCTTCTCACAATCACTCACTGCTGCCATCACCAGTGTTACTTTTTATTTTAATTTATTTCAAACTGGGATAGCTATTTCAGTATTACAGATAGGAAAAATATAACAGATTGGACTGCAAGATTTCCAGGCAGTCCAAAATCCGTGATCCTGGCATCTACTACTTGACAAACCCTGCACACAATATACTCTGACACAGGTGAGCACACATGCCAAAGTGATTCAAAAGAAATCACATCCACAACTGAGTTAAAATAAACAGACCCCTTGTGTCTGTTTAAAAGTACCTTGGTTTCTGAACAACAACAGAAAAGCCTAACAACCAAAAATATGCACTCATCTGTACATTGTATAAGCAGATATCTTAAAATTAATTTCATGCATGCTAAATCTAGTACAAACCCAGGAGTTTTTTTTTAAGTGTACCTGCACCTAGAGTTCCATTACAGAATTCTCACAGTAATCAGAGCATAAACATCAAGTTTTAAGCCCATCAGTTATATGGATGCTACAACATTTGGCTAAGCCAGTCAGTTTATTATATATATTACATACAAGTATCTGAGCACCTCCGTAGCCCTTCACATCTACTATGTACTCTCTCTTCCATCAAGTCCCAGTATTCTGGATTGTTACACAATATGAGCTGCAGTTATTGCATGAATACTGCGACAAGCTAAGTGTAGTTCTCCACATCATTGTTATGCTGGCTATGACTAATGGGGGTTGTAATATAACAACATCCGAAGGGCAGTACTTCACCCATTCCTCGTCTTAGTTTCCATGTAATAAACACAGAATGCTTGTGCTGGAATGTGATTACATGATGATTACTTCCAGGGAAATCTGGCAATATAAATATCTGTGTATACCATGTGGAACTACAGTATAATGATCTATACAGCCTACAATGTTTTATTTATTTTTTCTATGCTACTACTACACTGTTTGTGTTCCTTTAATTAAATATTCAGAAAAACTGGCCTAAGGTTCATTTGTGGGTCGCTAGATTATCCACTGCTTTTTCCAAAGTGTTCAATGTGTCTAGCCCAATTCTTCTAGCTATAAGTCATAACACTGGTCAAATAGCAAAGCTCTGGAGATAAATGGAATCACCACCAGCTCACCAAGCATTAAGAAGCAGGTTTTCTGAAGAGGAACGCATCACATTACAAAACCCAGGAGATAAATTAATAAATAGTGCAATAGGAAACTCTGGCAGGAGATGAAGCATTTACTCATGACACTTCTCAGTAGCTCAGAAACTTCTGACCAAGAGGCAGCATTTACCTGAATTGTTCTCCATGACTGTGTAAATCAGTTTACACACTCTGAGTAGCAGCATGACTTTCTTTTCAGGAGAGTACATCTTCTGCATGGTCATGAACTTGACCTTAATCTTTTCAACATCTACAAAGTCTGGCGTTGGGACAAACACCCCCAGCTCCTGAGGATTCCGCTGCCGGACAAGCTGGAGGTTCTCCTTTAGCTGCTTCCAGGAGCCGTCGGCCATATGGAAATCTTTCAACATTGCTTCAACATGGCCCTTGAGGGGCTTCAGGATGCACTTATGCATGGCTTTCTCTAACACCACATCTGCAAAGAGACAGGCAAGCTCAGTTTACTATCTGGCAAAGAAAAGTGGTTTTTTGTTCTCCCAAAGGAGAGAAAGAATAGAAACTATTTAGTGAAACTGGGATAATTACTCATTCAGGTTTCCAAAGGAATCTTAATGGTAAAACCAGATATCCAGATGCACCTTTAATGGGACTTTCCTCCTCCAAATCAATAATTTACCCTTCAACTTTTCTCATGCTAATTTTGGAAAGGAGTACCTGCACCATAAAAATCAGCTATGCAAAGATTACTCCAGTTCTAGAAATTTAGCAAATAAATCTGCTCGAATATTCACTTGGAAAACATTTAGTATATGTTTAGTTCATGTTTTCCATAAGAAGTCACAAATCAGCTCAGTCTGTACAAGACATTAATAGCCTAAACCAGGTCTACATATACTCTTAATGTAATAGGCCTTTATTTTGCACTTGAACAGAAGGAATGCTTATCTATTGATGACAACAAGAAACAAACATAAATGCAACTAGGAGGATGGAAGAAGGAATGGAAATACAGAAAACTATGAAGTGGCCTAAAATGGACTGAGAAGAGGCCTATGGGCACATTTGATAAGTTGATAAGACAGTGGTGCACATCACCAGAAAACATCATGTGGACTGCCTGATGGCAAAAGTCCAGTAAAACTTGCAGAAGAAGTGAAGCAAAATGCAGAGGATAGATTTAAGGTCTAAATACAGAACAACATATTTGACCCCATACAGCACAGTTTCACAGGAAAGAAACTAGCAATGCTCAGAAACAGACCCCCACTATGGATGTTCAGGGAAACAAAACTACAGAGAATGGGGAACAAAACACAGCCTAGGCAAAACACCCCAGGTCATTCCACATACCTACAAACTTAGTACACAGTAGAAGGTTCCATTTTTTAAAATATACACACACACCCTAAACTAAAGCACTTATTTCCAGCTGACTCACATACATCCTTTAATTAAAAAAAATGTCCATGTGAGGTACTGAGTCATTCTGGGGAAAGAAAAGAAGGTAGAACAGGACAGACCACAACTTAAATGTCTAGCTATCCATTTGTTATTGTTCTTCAATTAAATATTTGAGAAAGGTGGGGGAGGCTAGGGACCCAAAGGCTGTCAACCAGCAGCCCAAATCACAGCTGTTTGTTTAAAATATTTTCACCCCACTTTTTGCTACAACCCATGAGACTGAGTTTTGCCTGGCCTTAAACTCTAGGGCAGGCCGTTGTAAGCAATATAGCCATGCTACCAAACACAACATATCTGGGATTTGGTAAGACTTCTGTTTCTAAGGAGTAAATACTCAAATGGCCACAGTACACAGCTGGGCAATCATATTTGGTTTAACAGGCCACAAGTTTTAGAGATCTCTTCTTCTCAGGCATACAATGTTCAGCTGGCTAAAAACAAAGACCGAATTGCCATGATTACCAGTTATTTTTTTATCAGATCCATTTGCCAGCTACAAATCCCAAAACAGCCCAAGTTCTATAGATACCATTCAAGTGCTATAGCATCCTGCAAGAACTCCAGTGATTCCTCAGAAATCCACCGCTTAATTTGACCAGATAAATAATATTTGAAGTGGGTTGTGTGTTTTTCCTTTCTTCTCTTTTCATTGCAGTAATTATATGTATACTTCTGATTATACATATATACCCTGTTTCTCTGAAAATAAGACAGGGTCTTATATTAATTTTTGCTCCAAAATTAGGGCTTATTTTCAGGGGATGTTTTATTTTTTTCATGGACAATAATCTACATTTATTCAAATACAGTCATGTCATCTTCTGGTTGCTGCACAATGGTGGAGGGCAAGGTTTCACTTAAGTAGAGTTTACTTTTGGGGTTGGGCTTATATTATTATGAGCATCCTGAAAAATCATACTAGGGCTTATTTTTAGGTTAGGTCTTATTTTTGGGGAAAGAGGATACACATATGTATACATTTATATACACACACACATACATATATATACACATATATGTGTGTGTATGTATATTTATGTACAAACACACACATATGTATATGTATATATGCACACAGACACCCACACCCACACCCACACACACACATAGGGAGACTCTCCAAGCAATTGGGAACCCTGATTTTTGGGTTCTGCGATCATTTAGACAGGCTTCATGTATACCAGTGCCCTTCTTCTTCAGACATTTGTTGCAGAAAAAGTAACAAATAAGCTAGAACTTTCTCCCTGTTCATACATTCAGATTAATCCTTTTCTAACAGCTGGATTTGTCTCCACATTTTCTGTAGTCCTACAGCTGGTGTGACAGGAATGCATTTCCCCCTTCACCATATAAAGTTATGGTTCTCTGCCATGACATTCTGCATTTCATTACACTTCTTTGATTAATTCCTGTTTGTTTTCTACCTGAAAGTGAGTTCGTCTTGGAATCACCATGCATGAATATTGGCTTTCCACCACTCCTTTCATTCTGGTAGGTACTCATGGTGATGGAAATGTCTCCATCTCAACTTCCTGCTCCACCTTCAAGAGTTCTTTCCTCTCCCTCTAGTTCAGAGGCATCAACTGCAAGTGTTCATTCTAAGAGGTTTACGACAGTTTAGAGGCCTGTACTGTCAACACAGACTTCTCTCTACATTCTCTGAATGTGTGAATGCTCCTTTTCTTCTCCACTGCCACAGCTATCACCTAAAATAGTCACTGGTATGTATAGAATAACACAGAATAACATGGACAATGGTAGCCCTCCAGGTATTGTATGACAGCGCCTATAGATTGGTACATTGGATATGCTGGCCAGGACTCGTAGGAGGTGTCATCTGACAACAAACTGCCCAGCTGAGACATGAAGAACGATGGAATTATAGTTCTTACTGCATTTCATTGAATGCACAGAAGAGGACGACTTACAATATTCGAGCAGTTCTAAAAAAAAAAATCCCACACTATCCACAATACTAACCCTCGTGTCATCCTGATTACCTGATGCCAGAACTATTATACACATGCATATGTATTTCTGGCAAATTCTTTCTGTTGGGAGATTTCAGGGTTAGCAAAACTTGTCTGTTTGCTGCTTCTGTTGATACGAAGTTGAAAATTTTGTATTTATTCTAGGAAGGTGTTAAGTATTGCACACCATTCACAGAAATAATTAAAGTATAACATGTTTGCTGCACAGCTCTTCCTTTCAATAAACTACAGTAATGTGTGAGTAATAAATATTCATTAACAGCAGATACAAAATAGATATGCAAGCCACAGCACGTCTCTTTGGCACTGAAGGGTAAAGGAAGCTACTCCATTGCAGGAACGACGGCACAAGACAAAAAGGCTGCAAAGCTGAGGTTACAAATTGTTGTTATTACATGTTATCAAGTTGCTCTGAACATATGCTGACCTAGCAGGATTTTCCAGGCATGTGAGATGTTCAAGGAGTGGTTTGCCTTTGCATCTCCCAGCAAATTTCTATGGATGGCTGAGGATTTGAAGCCAGGTCTCCTGGATCTTAATCCAACAGTGTGTTCAGGGTTACAAAACAGTAGGGATGAGAATACTAATATTAAAGAAAATGTATGTCTACATGTTACATAACACTACATTTACCCAAAAATAAATCTAAGTAACCCACAAAGTAACAACAAACACTTTAAAAAGTGTTTGGGTGGCAGAGTGGTATTCTCTAAGAAGGAACCGTTGTAAACAGCTCCCTTTGTTATGACTTGGTAGCAATAAAAATTAATCCACCCACCCACCCATCCATCCATCTATCCTTCCTTCCTTCCCTCCCACACACAAACTCCCCACTGCAGCTGAAGTCTGGAAACAAAACGCAACAATGTTTCATGGCTAGCTGCTCTGTGCAAAAACACAGTCAATATTTGTAACCTCGAATGAATATTTGCATACCTACAGCACTGTAGCAGCTGCACATAACTTGGCTCCCTCTAGGTTACATTTCTCCAAAATTCTTGACATTGTTGTCTCCCAGATTCAAGGCCCTTAAACTTCACCTCTGATTCATTCTGTGAGAAGGTGAGAAGCAGTAAGGCAGAAGGGCACAATTGTTCACCACTTTACCTCCCCTATGTATTGTTGGGTCTAGATTCGAATGAAGTATCTTATTTTTGTCTTGATCTTTTCCAAAAAATCTGGTGGACCCAGAGTGGACTTTTCACTGATGTTACAAATACCCCTTCCTCTTCCACTTCTATTAGCATCCTTGAGTAATATTGAGTACTGTATCTCAGGACCTAGTGCAAAAATTAAAAAGGGAAAGCCGGTATGGTGCAGCACGTAGGAAGAGCCAAGTTGAAATCCCCATTTAGTTATGAAGGTCACTTGGGAAAGTCACAGTCTCTCAACCTAACTGGGTGTCAACCTAACTTATGATTGTTGGGAAGATAAAAACAAAGAGAATCATATATACTACTTTGAACTCCTGCAGGGGTGGCGAACCTTAGGCAATGCAGATGTTTTGGATCACAACTCCCCAAGTCCTTTATCACTGGCAACACAGGCTGGAAATTCTGAGAACTGTAGTCAAAAACATCTGAAGTGCCAAAGGTTCATCACCCCTGCAGAGGAAACGGAGGGAGGTAATGAACACAACACTACAATGTAGAAGATATCTTGTTAAACAACTTAGGAGTAGAGATGGACATGAAGTGCTTCGTAGTGCACAGGTATTGCACATTCCATCCCTCCTGGCTGGCTGTCCCGCTCACAATCCTTCATGCACCATGTGGGTTGTCCTCAATCACCAGCTTCCAGTCCAAGCAAGAGCCTGCGTTGGCCTTCATTGCCTCCTCTGACAGCCAACCACGCACCAGCTGTGCAGGGAGAAGGTCCATCCCACCTCGTCTGAGTGGTTGGCTGCTGGAGGAGGCAGGGAAGGGAAGCTTGGACTGGACTGGAAGCCAGTAACTGAGGATCTGGGTGAGACACCAAGACTTGTGAGTGGGGCAGCCAGCTGGAGGGGAGGGAACACGTGGCA